AGTTCTGCCAGATAATTGGAGACATCTATCCAGAAATGAGTTCTGAGGGCAATGGTCTGTGGTAGACTTAATTGGACAGTACCCAGGTAAGTGCAGCAAGCTCTACTTGCAGTCTATAGAACTTACTAAGCACATACTCTTCTAATGCAGATTTAAAACAAACACACCTATTATCATTTTCTATTTGGCTACATGAAGAAGCTGCTTCAGGATGAGATAAACTAAAATTGAAGCACAGCAGTCATTCAGTACTAACTCCTCAAATGAATGTTTTCATTCTGTACCAAAACAGCCCTTTATGGTTTAGCTTACCCACTTCTAAAGAGAGTTATAATGATTCCGTTAGAGCAGACCAAACACATAACTAGTAGAGAACAGATTAGTTGCAAAAGCTGTGCCAGCTATTCCCAGAATAGTCAAGCCCTTACATGTAATGTCATGGTTTAAAAATTCTACAATGGGAGAAAAAAATCCTACTCTATTCTTACGGATTTTTTCCATAGGAGCTATCTAGGAAAAATCCTGAATGAGTACCAGAAAAGGAGCAATATACAGTAACAATAATCCCAGGGAGGATTGTTACTATGGTTTCCTTATTAAGAAATACCCACTTCAGGTTAGTCTGTAGCTATTCTGGAATTAAATATTACTCAAGTTAGTAAGCATAGTGCCACACGTCCTCTGAGGCATCTGTAGGACTGTTTGTACTTGCACTGAAATCACTGTAAACCCCACGGTTCTGCAAAGAATTAATCCAAATTCTTTCACTCCCTTGTGGATGTGTGCCCACACCGCATGCTGTACGTACATGTAAAACGTTTCTCCAGTGACCACTTGACAGTAACCCAGGGTTTACAAACAGAAAACTCCTGCCCTCCTATAAAGGGAATAACAGTAGTCTTTGTAACAGTAAATAAACCCACCACTTCTCCTGCTTATCAGACATGCTTCCTTCCTGTGACGGGAATTATATCACCCCACTGATGGGAAGAAGAGAAAAGGGATTTTTTTTAAATGGCTGTTTTATCTGTCACTTTCACTGAGGCAGAAATGCTAGACTGATTCACAGATGGAAACCCCAAATGCCATGCAGCAAAGCGTTCATCTATGGACAGGAAACAGTATGTGTTTTATAGGCTAGAGTAAAGGTTATGTCACTTCAAAGCACATAAGTACCTTTTGAAAGACTGCACAGACACCTTCCTTAATATTCAACTGACAAAACCAGCCACACATAAAAGCCTTTAATCATATAGAGAGTGTACCAGGGAAGTAATTTCTATACGGTCCTACAGATTAGCCTTGGTCCTCTAATACTAATAATGCTGTTTTAAATATGTTTTTTAAAAGGTGTATTTTCAGCAAGACTCTGGATGAGTACATGAAGACACATATATGCTCACAGACGTGCATGTAAAACATCAGTGGGAAGGAGCAAGACAATGATCATCTCTCCTAAGGTATAATAGTTGATCTCGGTTATACTCACACTAGCAGTTTTGGGAAGCTTGACTGTCTTTCTGTTGATTTTTTTACCTTTGAAGGCTAAAATTATCTTTTCAAAATATGATCAATTTAAATCTGACCCAACAATAACTGAAAGAAATGAATAGACGAATAGCTGAATTGGACCCAGTCTGCTCCCAGAATGAATACTTTTATCTGTGGGTAATTTTGCACTGAGCATTTTGCTTCTTCATTGGACTCACAGAAAATAGAAAAAGGAAATCCACGCTAACCAAATCTAAGCAAACTGCAACCTTCATTGTGAACCTAAGAGGCAAAATCCAGCTTTCTTGGCAGCCCTCATCTACGTTACGCATCCACAAACAAGACTGCAATTCACAGTGCTCCTCACATGAACCACCAACTGAACACAGAAAGATCTTCCCTATATACCTGTGTCTGAAAAATCATGTGAATGTAACACAGACCACATTTGTCGGGAACAAGTCAAACTAACTGGAAGCTTTCTGAAGCTGGAATACATCAAGCTGTATTTTAGCCATACATTGGTATGAAACATTTTTTGTGATGGTGTAACACCCTACTGCAAAAGCAGAGGTTCGGATTTGAAAAGAACTTTCTGTTGCTTCCTTAACAAATGGGCCTTTTCCTTTCTGTTCTCCTTTCTGGTTCCCTATTCATGTAACAATTATCCCAGGCTCCAGAACACACTTTGGGTTTTGAAACTCCCAGTAAATCAATATCCTTATGAGCAGCAAAGAGTGTAATCAGCCTGTATGCGTATCATACAGGATACACAAGCCTGTGCTTTAACAGTTCATTGTCCCTTTTGCCCCATGATTCAGCTATGACATTAATTCTATAAATATATCCGAACGTTGGGTTTATTTGACTTGGGACACATCTTGCTCACTTCTTTTGCTTAGGGTTCCCAGTTGCCTTTGGCCATTAGTCACACAATATACTGTATTAAAGAGAAGAATGATGCATAAGGCCCTTTGGAAATAGTGCTGGGGGGAAAAAAGTGATGCAATAGATGGAGGAGGAAGAAGCAGTCCAGGCCCTGGAGGGCTCCAAGCCTGCTGTTACTAATGGACATGATGCACTGGCTGGAGCTACACCCTGCGGTTGTGGGAAGGAACTGGTGGCAGTGAGGGCCCCTGCAGGCCTCCCAGCCTTTCCAAGGAATAGTAGCATAAACACAGACTTCGGTTGGTTGGCAGCACACAACGTTGCTGTGAATTCAGCTATCTTCCCCAGTGCACTCTGCGTAGACATTATACAGTTAATAAACAAATAAACTCCAATGCAGAAACAGTGGACTAAAGCTTGCATCACCGAACAAGAATAAACCTTACTGACAAAGAGTGTACAATAGAACTTGGACTAACAAATGATAAGCTGGAGCCAGTTGCTCGGCAGATGTTTAGAAGAATAACTATGTAAGGAGGAACATTTTACACAGTGAACTAGATCTCTACTGCTAGAAGCAAGCATCTGTAGGACAAAAATCTTTACAAGGATTCTGCTGGGATGGACTGTCTTGGACAAGGTGGTTGATCTTTCCCATTTTCAAGGATCTGCGGGGCTCCACAGTAGACCATGCTTTTGCACCAGCCCTGACCTCAACTAGTCACTTCCTATTCCCAGCCTCAGCTCAGTTGCACATACCTTGTTAAGAGATGTGAGACGTCCTCTCTCACTCTCCCTCCATCCTAAGCTATAATGAATTTTTCCGGAGTGAATGTTGTTCATTTCCACTATGTTTCTCCTTCTCCATTACACCTCTACTCTGCCCAAAATACACAGTGGCATCCAGGGCCTGAAGGAATGCAGGTGGGTGGATGAAGATGCTTAAGATAGCTTCCTTTCTTAAGGGTGACACACAGAATTGCATCAAGGACATTATCCAAAATGCATACTTTGAAGTGTCCCGAAACTTGCATTTTCATTGGCACCAGATTTTCTTTGCGGGATGACTCAGTTTCTACAGGACCATAAGAAACTTTGAAGACTGCATTTAGGCCATAGATAGCTTCTGCAAATGCTGAAAATTCTCTTGGGTACAACCTAATTAAAACTTTTCAAGAAGCCAACAGCTCATGCCTGTTGTCTTGAATTTCTAGCCTAAGACAATGTCATGAGAGGACCCTTTAGAAGACAAGAGTTGACTACACAGTTTCCCCAGTTCTATCTTGGCAGTCATTAGCAATGCATCATTCTACTAAAGAAGTTAAAAAAGAAAAGAAATCATTCAGACATTTCAGATAATATTCTGCTGATATATACTGCAGTCCTGGTGAGCGGAGAAATTAATCCCATGAGTTGAACTGAAAAAATCCAAATGCTGAAGTGAGAGAGCTGGCAAAGGAGTGGAGCTTTTTATTATCTACAGGTGCTCTTTGACTGGGAAATACTGCAAGAAAAACACTCTTTTCTGGATCCCAGGCTACAGCATTCACATTTCTAGAGCTTGACACTACTAAGAATCCTCAGAGAAAGTAAACAGATTGTTCTGTATATTTCTCACTAACATTGTCATAATTCTTCCTTTTCATAAAAAAAAAAAAAAAGTTAAAGAAAACATAATACGCTTCTTGCAAGCAGTTATCAAACATCTTCTGTGTGGACATAGAACAAAATGCTTAACTAAACTCAATTTGTTCTATCCACAGACATAATTTACCAGAAGCAATATGCAAGATGAAGGATAAAGATATTTGTTAATTTCCAGTGGGTGCATTAAAACTGTAAGTTTTAAAATCTGCTTTTTAAAACAAGGTGCAGAACCAGAAAACTCTGTTTTGCTTTTCTTCCACGCAAAGCAATCATCATTAGAAAATGGCCAAGCCATATTCTAGGATATAAAGCACTCCAAGAATTGGCAGGGCTGACAATTGGGGTTATTAAAGAAATAAAGACTGGGAAAACTAATTTGTTACACACACTTCAAAATAGGAACAACAAAGAGGAGAAAGCAAATAACAAAACTGACAGGAAGATTAGCATTAGACTTCGGATTTGCACAGTAATGAAAAAGTAGAGATGTTATAAAGACATTGATTATTGAAAAAGGTGGAGAACATGATAAAGATGGGATATCACTTTTATTAAACAAACCTGTTTAGAGAAAAAAAAAACAGCAGCCAGAACATGATATACATGGATGACAAGTGACAAAGGGTTACTGGCAGTGGACGTGTGGGAGAAAGGCATCCCAGCCCAAGGTCGGCACTTTTCCCTGTCCACATTCCATCACGCGATGGTGGGCTGCACCGCACTTTGACATTTCTGAATGCAAAACCGTGGCTTGAAGATTCTACCAAACAAGAAGTTGCATTTTGAATTCTTTTTTCCATACTGGCATTTTCCTGAGATTCAGAAGACTATAACACTTCAACATGGAGAAAAGCTGCATGGTCAAGCCCAGCCCTCTTCGATGGAAGACATTCACCATAAGTAGGCAGTTCTTCAAATCTCCCCTGTTAATGGCACTTTCACGCATCACATTTAAAGGTGATCAAGGAGAGCTCTCATCTTGGCAGGCAGCTGGTGAGCGGGTCAGGTCTTGGTACGGTCACAAAGTTCATGGTGCAGTGCAATAGTGGACAGATCTTTTCATGATCCTTCAACACTTCACTCAAGTGTTTCATTTCATCTGTTAGCTTTCCGATTTCTCTTTTCAGGGAGGTATTTTCTTGCTCAAGAGACTCATATTCCTGGAAGGAGGGGGGGGGGGGAAAAGCCTACTCATAGTCAAAACATTCTTTTCAGTGCTTCCACCTTGAGTATATTCATGCAACTGTACAAAAACTTTGTGGTTTCTTATTACAATGTGCAAAATGCTAGGGTAGGGAAAGACAGACACAGTCTGGGTGCTGGAACAGGGCAAGTGCTTCACGACCTGTGCCCTGACCATTCTGCAACTCCTTTTGTGACCCTGAAGACCAGGAGGTGTCGCTGGCCCTCGGGTCTCCCCAGCAGCCCAGGGCTGCAGGAGTGGGTGGCTGCATCCACGTGGTGGCCTCTTCCAGCCCTGGGCCACCTCTTCTGGGAAGGGCCAAACAGGGCAGCTCTGCACTGTCAGAGCAGAGAAAATGAAAGCACCAAGCGCAGGTAGGCGCTGGGAAACCCCAGTGCCTGGCATTGCCGGTGAGGAAAGAGCAGCCCCTGCCCTGGGCCAGTGCAGGGAAAGGCTGTTTACCCAGGTGCTGGCTGAGACAGACACCTGGCACAACGCACCCACTGCCAACTGGGCTCCTCCAGCCTCACCGGGGCTTGTAGCCACCTGCTCAGATGCCCGGGAACTCAAGAGCAGGAGGACGTGAGCATCATGCCAGCTTGTTCCCAATCCCACTGTGTCACCAGAAGGCCTGACCGCTGCCTTGGTTATCCCTGACCCAGGCTGCTTTTGAGCTAAGGTTTCTCTGGCAATGAATAAGCTGCTATTAAGATGCTCCGCACCATACATCTGTGACGGATGTGAGACTCACGTGTCACATTTTTTGATAACTGCATGTTTCAAGGGTCCCTGCTGTCAAGCCTTCTCATCCCAAACACAAGAGAAGTTCAGAGCCAGCCCACGGAAAACCTGCCGGTGTCTGCACCTCGCTGCTGGCCTAGGGCTCAACACTCACCCACTCAATCTCACCTTCCTGGGAAAGCTTCAGAGCACACTTCAAAGCCTACACATGCCTTAAAAGGCCTGTTTACCAGGCAGCAGGGAGAGCTTCTCATGCAATGCTCCTCTAGGCAGCCTGGCACTGTCTCTGCTGCCCTTTGCTGCAGGTGTTCGAATCCCCTTGCCCTCCCTCGCACCCTTCCACAACCCACCACCTCTCACCCACAGAATAAAATGGGCACGGTCCTCCTAACACATTGTTGTAGCCAACTCCAGCCAAGTTGTCCATCCCTGACCCTGGCTCTGCTCACCTCTTGTTGCCCCAAGCGCCATGGGGTTTGGCTTTGGAGAAAGCGTGACTCTCCCATTGCTCTGTCCCATTTTCAGGGATGAGACTATCAAATTGTTCTTGCTAAGAATGAATGCCTATTCAACCAGATCTGCCTGCACCTGGGAAAACCTGCGTGCCTGAGAACGAAGATTCCCAGCATGCGGAAGATCTTTAAGTCCAGGAGGAACATCAAAGGGGCTGCAGAATGAAATGATTCCACAGAATCATTTCTGCCCATAAATGATTCCACAAAAGCCAGGGGTTACCCCTTTCCAGAAGCACCCTGCACCTGGCGTTCTCAGGCGCTGACTCAGAGGAGGTCTGGGAAAAACCAAACCCCAAATTCCCCACACTGTCCCTCTTGGCCTCTGCTAACTGCCGGCAGATCCTTACACACTGAGAAAGAGAAGAGCCTGTGCTGAACCTCCAGAGCTGAACAACTGACGCAGCCACAATCACAGCAGCAGAACTAACACTTACCCCAAGAGCCCCGGCTGCAACAAAAACACTGTTGTGTGAGGTAACATCCAAAACCAGAGAAAGGGGATTCCTGTCCTCCAGTGTTTGCACTGGGGACATGAGAAAACTATACCACATTGTGATATTGAGAAGAAGTATTAAGAGTTTCTGGAAGAATCAGTTACTTTCATGGTTTTTTTGGAAACACCCACTGTTAGTTATCAGAGCATACAAGTATAACAGCTAACTGAACTGAGCTCTCACGCTTGGAGGTTTTGAAGTTCCTAAGAAGCCTTTTCAACTGGGTATTTCTGTCTCACACCATAGTTTTAGAATTGACTTAAGCCAGCACTGCCACTAAGCAGCATGGTCCCCTCCTCCTCCATCGCCTTCTTCCTCCTAAGGCAGCAAGCATTCACCCACTGCTGCAGCTAATGTGACAAGCTTAACGCTAACCCAGAAGACAATGGGTTTGTTTTAGCCTAGAGGAGCCCTGTGATCCCATTCACTGGGTGGTCAAGGGAGTAGCAAAAACAGGACGGGTGAGGTGAGGGCAGGACCACGTCTCTCAAGTTGCTCCGTCCAACGTGAGCATCAGTGTCCAGGGGTTCCTGACCAGGCACCCTGCAGCACACCTGTCTGCCTCGCACCCACAGCTCTCTGAGATGGATTAGCGTGAAGACAGGCCCACATCTGCTTAAGAAGTCCCATTTATTGTAAAGACCCGTGCTTGGTACCCAATCTGTGCCTGCAAAACATCAAGTACCCATTCACCTCATGAAGTTTATCTGCTTTCTGAGTTTGCTTCTTCCGGCTCCTCTGGGCAGCAACGCGATTTTTTTCTCTCCTCCTTACTTTCCTGTCATCTTCTTCATGACTCTGGAAGACATAAGCCAGAAACATCTCGGTGTTTTTAAAGGTGTGCACGAGCGATGCCCGTTTAAGGGTTGCCAAGCATGAGCACGTACTTGCAATTTCACAGCACCTACCCGCGACCTCCCAGGGACCGCACCGTCCCTGCAAGGGCTGCGCACCCCCTGCACAGGTGGGGCCGGAGGCGGAGGGCTGGAAACCGGCAGAGATGCCCCGGGGCGGGGGGGG